AGAGTGAGCTTAGAAGGATCCACACCCGCAATAAACTTGTACGGCTCCAGTTGCTGGGTCGGATCGTCGGCAAGCAAGGACTTCATGTGCAGACGGAGGGCCTGTCCAAAAGGGGAGTCACGGATGTTCACGATAAATTCGGCAACTGTTTGAGGACGAAGAATCAAACCATGCCATCCAAAGAGCTCAAAACAGGGGTATACCTGTTGCCAAGTCTCCCATTTCGTCATACGCGTCGGCATCGAATACGTCCGCACGAGTACGGTCTTCCTCCTGTTGTATCCGAGAAGCCCCAGTCATCACATCTATGCAGGTCACCAGGTGCGAAAGACACAGACCAGCAGAGTGCTCAAACTAGCGTAGAATTCACTGATATCCCGCCCCTCGCAGAAGGCACCAACAACAAGCTCGTCCAAGGGAGTCTCGTATCCATGTCGTCCAATATATGACTTGTCAGGTAGCACGTGGGCCACACCCTCGGATGTCTGCGTCGCGAAACTCTATGAGAGCGCTTCAAAGCGAGATACGGACGACGTACACGTAGTCTTTTGAAGTAAGGTCGAAAGTGTTGACTGTCAGATACCACTTGAACCATCCGATACCAAAGGATCCTCGCAAGCATATCGATCTTTGCGAAGCACATGACAAGGCGCCACATGAAAGCCGTATCCCGCTTATATTCACGTTCTATTGCAGAGGCAGTTGTCAGGCCCATGTTAGCCAGATCCTCGAATAGTTCGGCTGCATGTTTCCATGCCATATGTGAAATCTCGAGAGATGCAGTGTAAGTTAAGCAGATAACTTCGCCGATAGAATATTTACCGTGAAGATGTATAGTCGAGATCTGAGTGCCTGATGGATTTGAATGAGACCCTTGGTTACAATATCATTTTCTGGGAACTCTCTTGGGGACAAGATGGTGCTACGAGCCCGGCGGATGATGGAATCTACGAAGCGATCTGGGCTTGCGCGCATCAGATCCATGGTGTCGCGGGCCTTGTCCTGAGGAACATGCATGCCAATAAGCTAAGCGAGAGAAGCTGAACTTAGACTCACAAATTCAGATATCGCAATGGCTCTAGCCGAGCCCCAGTCTAGGTTTGGGAATTTACATCCGTTTAGAAGGGAATCTACAGGTCGAACGTTTTATAGCGACCATCAAGACTCCTCAATATCGACCTACCATATCGCCGCTACAATAGCAAGCTAAATCTAACGCAACATGTAAAGCGTAAACACACTTACTGCCAGCCACGCCGTAGAACTCTCTCCGCGTCGTCTTTTCGGAGCCGGCTTACTTCGTTCAGGAGCACATAGGTTCTGTGAAGACACGAACGAATAGTATAATTTAAGAGCATCGCAGTTGGTACCTTGGGGAATGAGCATTGATCAACATTCCCCGGGACACGACGCTCATCGTCTCACCTAATTCGGCCTGATAATCGAGGGCCTGTTCATATAGATTCAGATCGAAAAGGTAATAGTCCAGCATACCGCGGGTATGATCCAGAATTTGGCACTGCCCAGGCCAAAGCTAGAGGCCGGCCCGTAATATCTGTCTGGTGGACGGGCGCAGAGAGCTAACGTTTCACGAGCCCCCTCCGGGCCCAGTTTCCTGGTGATCCTGTTCGATGGGTTAGATAGCGCATTCGACAGCTCCTTGAAACCTACCAATCGCGCACTCCACGTTTCCCTTCTGTCGTATTTTGGCAGTATTCAATGGCGTTCGCAAACCATTCCGCCTGGTAGGGAGTGACATTCCACCTCTTTGCTCTCTCAGCATGTATGTTAGTCATTGTATCACAGAGACGCCAACTCCTGAGGCGACGAGGATGGTTGCGAGAGAAAGCTGGCGCGGCGTTCTTACGGATATAGCAAACGCAGCGATACTTTACGTAAAATTCGTGTCATCTCGAAAATCGACCGAAGCAAGCAATACAGCGCGAGCCTGATACCCTTTACAGTCGGTTAATGAGGAGTAGGCCGCACTGCTATACGGTGTACACCTCGAGATGCAAGTCTTGAGCAAGGTCCTGATTAGTTACGAACCACACAGTACTGCACCGTCATAATCTCCTCGGACTCATCGAGCAAGTCGACATGTGTAAGAGTAGTGGGTGCGAAGAACTGCGAAGTATCAAGAAACAGTCAGCTCTTCGGGACACTCTTAACCTCAGCAATCAGGCGAACGATTTCCGACCGTCGCGAATGCACTCCACCGTCTGTCCACGCTCTACTTTTCTACAGATCTTCGTACATTCATCGTCCACCTTCTTCTGCCGCTTCCGCCTAACCTACTCCCAAGGTTTCTTGCGCGGCTGGGACTGTGATTCGCTCGGGGGCGCTGTCTGGCTGCTGTTATAGTGTACGCTCCATAGGAGAGAGCGAGTACTCACATTAAGCGCATCAGTGATGACCTTATTATTTGGTATCTGATCGGTTTTCCCTTGCTCGATCAGCTCCTTGAGTTCTGCAAACGACAGCGTCTGCATCTCCTCCGGAGCAAAGACTGTTGTACAAGTGGGTTGTTCTACTTCTGCAGCTACCGACGGAGCCGCGGAAGCCGACGACAGCGAGCATTGCAAGGCTCGGACGTCATCCAATGTTATGGACGTCTGCGCAATCCTGTTTCGGCCAGTTAGACATGGCTTACGAGGTATTGAAAGGCGAGAACCTATTGAAGTAGTATATCTGCGACTGCATCAACAAGCTTTCCTTCTCATCCTCCGATTTGTCCTCTAGCGAGTTCGCGGACAAGATGCTTGCGAGACCTTGCTTGCGAATGGACTTTCAAAACACCAAGTCTACTTGAGGAGAGCCGGCGCGTACCTGATACGTCTGATCTTCTGCAAATGGGTATGATAGAAACATACGGATTGCATCCTCGACATTACTCTGCTCGGACGCCATGGGCTGCGTAGGTCGAGCACAATCTTCAACAGTTAAACCAGTGCCCAAAGAATGGTCGTCTCTCAGGAATGAACGTCGTCACGGAAAGCTTGGGCTTAATTTAGGTCGCGGTGATGAAGGTCCAGGAAGAGGTTGGGCCGGCTACTTCCGCCGCCTTATACTCTTGAGTCTTAACCGTAACGATGTCACCCTCATCTTTTCCCTCTGCTCGCTACTGTGCTCATATGCCAGCAACATGTCCAGCGGTGTAAGCAAGGTCGCAGCAGAACGGCATCAACGTATCTTGCTTGAGCTAGTCGCTCAACCTGGAAATGGCGAGTTTCATGCTGGTCGGGATGGCCGGCATTCATACTGATGGAGAATAGACGTGTGCGCAGACTGCAAGTCCAAGAATCCGAGATGGGCTTCTCATAATCTTGGGATATTCCTATGGTATGCTGTACCTTTTGGTCAGATGTGTCCTTGTACTCAAGTTGACCGTGATATTAGCGTCCATTGCGCCGCTATTCATAGAAAGATGGGCACCCACATTTCGAAAGTGTGCGTCGAATGCTTGCGGTTGATACTGCGACGCTAATCTTCCCATTTATCTCAGAAAGAGCTTGACCCTGGATACGTGGACGAAGGAGCAAGTCGAGGTCGGCCCACGTCCACCTCCGTACTGAGAACGCACCGTAACGTATATCTCTTCACGAATATAGCACATGAAGAACACTGGCAATGTCAAATCAAATTCGGTGTATAATCCGGATGAAACTCGTAATCCCCTTCCAGCCAACATGATGGAGGCCGAGCGAGATAGTGAAATTGAGAAGTACATTCGAGGTGAGTACCGGATTTGAACCATTGGCTCTGATATCCCGTGATAACTCAAGTCCTTTATTCAAGCAAAGTACGAGTTTCAAAGGTTCAAGACCCGGCCTGCACAGATCGCAGAGAAGCCCCGGGCCCCCCAACGACCCGTAACGCCCGTCTCCTCCCGTGGGGCACGGATAGCAGAACAACTGCTTGGTCCTTCGCGATCGGCAGCGGCAGTGCCTCCTGTCCGCTCGAGGACTAGCCCTTCACCAAGTAGACTCACAGCCGGTACTTCCGCTCTATCGCCAAGTCCCAATACTACTGCTAGCCGGCCCTTGATGTCTGGTACCTATCCCGCTCCTTCTGCGCCGTCAACCCAGCCGCAAACCCAACCTCAAGCCAGCCCTGACAAATCATTCAGTAATCCTGTCTGGGACGACCTAGTTTCCCTGCAAGCACCTTCGACGAACAGTACGCTACCCCTTCAAATCGTGTCACCTCAGACGACGTCCGCTCTGCCGCAACAAGGGCTCGGGTCTATGAATGGCGTGGGCGCTATGTATGGCAACATCGCTTCCAACCCGACTGGTTTCAATAGTCTAGGCCCGAACCCCGCAGGCTTCAACCCTTCACCGCCATACGGTAATATGACAGGCGCGACAGGGAGTGGCCTGGGGTTCTCGGGGATGTCTGGTAGCATGCCTAGCTTCGCTTCTGGGATGACCGGCGGCAGCCATTTCCAGCAAAATCTGCAGCCACCATCGTCATTCATGGGACCTTCATCTTCCCCGTCATTCTCGCCAATGAACGGAATGCAATCAAACCCGTTCGCTCAACAACAGCATACCGGGATGCCCTTCTCTCCTCAACCACCGGCAGGATTCGGTTCTTACCCTCAGCAGCAATTCCAGCCACAGCCCCATATGTCCGCGATGATGGCAGGGGCACCCGCACCGTTTCAACCGCAGCCGCAGACGTTCTCTTCGATGCCGCAACAGTTTGGGACCTCACCACAAGCTCCATTTGCGACTACACCGTCCCCGATCCCGATGGCGGGAATGGGGCAGCAGTTCCAGCAGCCGGGGTGGAATGCGGGGCAGCCCGGGTATGCCGGAGGAGCGGGAGGACAGTGGGGTACTATGTAGCTTGTTGGGTCTGAGGAGGAAGTTGAGGTTACCCAGTAATGTGTTCTGACGATGCTCAGTATAGTCAGTTCTTTCTGCTTGTCACCATTAGGTCATTATAAAATAAGAACTTCTATTGATATAAAGTAAATTACTCTACGTAATTCAGCTCCCGTGGCCCAATGGTCAAGGCGTCTGCTTCCTACTTTGTTGGGTTCCAGCAGAAGATTGTGAGTTCGATCCTCACCGGGAGCTTTAATATTTATTCAATTATTTTTCTTCGCGTCGCAATTACTGTGATTATCCCAAATCTCGAGATCAAAATTGTAGCACTAAAAAAAAGAATTACTTTATGCTGTAAAATTAGCTTTTCGGGGGCCAAAAAATGGAACATTTTCTCAACCTCGCGCTAACAATAAAAAATGTCCCGTTTTTAAGACTAAAAAACTTTAGCAGCCACTAAAATATTTTGACTAGAGGGTAGATTGTCCGTTTAAATAAAAAAGAATGTTAGAAATAGGTTTAAGATTATCTAACAACATAGTTAAACTCAAATTAATCAAAAAAAATGAAATTCTCTGGGCAGTCGAAGACCAAGGAAAAGACAAAGAAAAATCATTTGGATTAAAATAAGATTTTATTTTTTGAGGTTTTGCAGCTGTCGGGATCCCCAGGGAGAAGTGCATCAGCTAGGTAGCATACCAATCCTCAGCATTTTGAAGAACCATTGCATGAGAACGGCCTTGGAGACGGGTTGTTCGCAGTGTTGACATGGATGAGAGCCTCAGAGTAAGCACCTGAGAGAGAAACTCCCAGCAGAAGTGCGTTGGGTTTGGAAGGCTCCCATGGGACCCGAACCAACGGCCACAGCAGTTAGGTACTTCCAGCACTATCTCGAACGGTAATAGGTGAGGAAGAGGGCGCTCGGAGACGTCTGGGTGTAAAAGTCCTGTCGAGAGCTGATCCAGTCAAGATCCAGTTTCAACTATGGCGGCGGCGACGTGCTCAGACTGTGGCTTTGAAGAACCAACGCGTGCATATGCCATACTTCAAAGCTATTCAGAGTTCCATATAGTGCAGACATGTGGCCCGAGTGATCTCCTCTAGAGCGCTCAGAGGCGTCAGGATCAGCTTGATGCAGGTATGGATTGCGAAATGTCCTGTGGGGCGCGTAAATAATGGAGGAAAAGGTACCTATCGACCAGTGATATTTTAATGAGGCATGTAGCCCTTAGGTCATCCTTGTCAGCAGTTATCGGAAAGGTCTTCGTCGTGACGACTGACGTATAATGCTTGGCCATCAGAACCCCGGGCGCCTCGTCTCGGCCGTTACATGGCCACGATTGTGGCCTAAAATCGCACAGACCAGTGAGCAGTGTAGGCTCCTGCAGTGACCAGAACATCAGGACAAGGACATCTTAGCGGTGAGCAGCTTCCACGACGTCGTGGAGGTCAAGGTTCAAGAAAGACTCGCCATCGAAGTCCGCGTTCCCGCGCTTCTCTCCTCCCCACCCGCTCCCCGCATCCCCTAGGCCGCCGGTACTGCGCAAACGCCCACGCGTTTTGCGGTTGTCGCTAATATCTTGCAACAGCCCTCCTTGCTGTCTTCCATTCGTTTGTCCATAGTCTTCTAGCTTAATTGGTGCCAGCGGATATGTCTTCAAAAGATGGCGAGGGGCACTCTAGAGCAGCCGTGGTGCGTCTGAACGATGAATGGACGTCGTCGATTGCTGATCCAATATCTAGACGGGTACTGTCTTATTCTACTTGGTAGCTGCGTTGGCTGTGGGTGTCTTATCGTTTGAACGAGGTTGAAATACTGATACTGCAGGGCTAGATGGTCATGGCGTATGTTTCACCAGGTTCATGATGCTGTACACGATGCTGAAGAAACGGCAGAAACAAATGGGTCTTGAGCAGCACCGATGTGCCTCTCTTCTTCCTATTCACTCAGCTCGTCATCGCCGTTATTCTCTTCCTGGTATCGCACACGGCAGGTCTGGTCAAGGTACCTATGGACTTCAGTCTCCCCCGTCTCAAGAATCTCGCGCCTCTCGTTGGTTTGAATGTCATTGGACTTAGGTTCGCCCGACGTACCGTTCGACGACCTCTACTGACCCCATCGCAGCTTCAGCAACTTCACTCTCAAATACGTCGATGCCTCCTTTTACCAAGTGGCGCGCGGTCTCGTTCTGCCATTCACCTGCCTGACCTCGTACATCATGCTCTCGTCCCGCCCATCGCTGCGCATCCTCTTTGCGTGTGGGATTGTCACCCTGGGTTTCTTCGTCGGCGTTTTCCTGGACGGCACAGCTGTCTCCACGCTCGGCATTTTCTTCGGCGTCGTTTCGTCCGCAGTTACTGCAACGCACTCTGTCATCATTAAGCGCACGCTCGACGTCGTGAAGGGCAACACGCTCGACCTATCGTGGTACGGCAACTCGCTGAGTGCGGTCGCGCTGATTCCATTCATCGTGCTTGCTGGTGAGGTGCCGGGCGTGATGAAGTTGTTCTTCGGACCCTCAGAAGCCGTGGCCGTTGGTGCCATGAGCCCGCTCACGACATTCTTGTGGGGATCTGCTATCACGGTACATGCGACTCGACATCAATTCAGTTTACGTTCTGACAATGTTCTAGGGGGTCTTCGGCTTTCTTATGAGCATTGCGAGTCTGCTCTCTATTAAGGTGACCTCTCCCATCACGCACATGGTTTCTTCCGCCGTGCGTGGTGTCCTTGCAACCATACTCGGAGTCTGGCTTTTCTCTGAAATTGTCACGACGTGAGTTGCATCAGCCTGTCCTTACATCTTGCTGTCTGACATTGGATGTGCCCTAGTGGCCGTGCTGCGTCCATCGCGACTATTCTCGGTGGCTCGATATACTACACTTGGATCAAGCATCTCGAGTCTCTCCCGCAGCAATCGAACAACAGCAAGGCGTACGAGCGCGTACCCCTTGAAGATGTGGAAGCCGGCAAGGTGACCCCGAACCACGTAAAACCTGAGTGAACTCGAGGCATTCGTGTCACTCATGATGAACACTCGTAGTAGGGCCGACGGATATAGATATATACGCTAGACTCTCATAAAGCATAATATAATGATAGCAACATCCAAGAAGATACGGATTCGCGCTGAAAAAATTGCTCAACGCTTGTGTAGATTGCCCCGGGAAAGTACAGAGCTAGCGAAGGAAGGAAGGAAGAAAAAGTAGCATTACAAGATTTCATGACTTCTCCGATGCCTGAACCATACAACGTCGCCTAGTCCGGTCAAGGTCGTTGCTTCTTCCAATAATACAGCTTGAAGATAAACGTCGATCATGGTCCGGCTATAGCTGAGCCCCGCCCTGCACGCTCGAGGCTCTCATCCACAAGCTCGTACGCAGGGCGGTACCGTACCTCCATTGTCGACTGACTCAAACCACTCCCTGAACCATTAAGAAGAGGTGCATCGCCACACGCGGTGCTGTCGGCGAAGCAGGTGGAACTGGGGTCAATCGATAGCGTGGCGAACTCGCCGCTGTTCGCCTCGGGGAAGCACGTGGTAGTGGGATCGGAGGAAAGCGTGACGAGCGCAGCGTGTTCTGGGAGCGAGCGCGGTGTGGAGGTGCCCGTACCGTTCGTGAGCGGGGGGAGGGTCGAGCAGGAGGGCTGGATTTTGAGAGCGGGGTTGGGGAAGGTGTTGTATGTCGAGCCGATGGAGGTGTATCTGATGCATCGATTAGTGAAGGTATAGAGAAGAGGAGTGGTGCTGGCGCAAGCAGAAGGGCGATTCTAAACGGTAGCTGGTTCTAACGCAACAAACGCGGCCACCTCAGCATCATGGTGCGATACTCCGAAAGCCACCGTGGGCGCCATCTCAGGGACTCAACGACTCGTTTGCGCAATCACCGCCATTGCGCTCAGGGCTGGCGTCTCTCGAACTAGCGCCACTGATCATACTCCACCGTGATGCTGCGGTGACCAGCAAGGCGAGGAATAAGCTGGCGTGACTTTGGCCCTGGGCCTGCGGAAGGACAGCAACAGCAGGGAGGAAGGGGAACTCACCCTTCATCATAGAGAGAGCAATAGGGTATTTTCAGTGTGCGAAGGAAGACCCAGACGTCGTTGTATGACCAGTTGATGATCGGGTGCACGCGTTCGAAGCGGGGCCAACCAGGGTCGCAGGGATTGCGGTATTGGAGAATAGCTGCTACGAGGTTGAGTCGCATAATTGCAATTGATGACATTGCTCGTACCCCCATGAGGATCGCCCTTTCTCGTACCCACCAGGATGGCCTCGACATTCGGAAACTTTTCTTTGTACAGCTTGAGGGCCATCCGCATACCCTCACCACCCTTCTGCTTTGGCAGGTCTTCCGTAGCGGGGGTGTTCACGACTGACTTGGGGACGCTCTCCACCGGCTGCTGCTCGTCCGGTGGCTCGCTGTGGAAGAGATCGAGAGAGTAGGCGCGGGCAGTATCGGCGATGAAGGTCTCGAGAGCGGGGAAGGGCGACGGCAGGGGTATGTATACTGCAGGAATGTTCTTGCGCCTGGATGAGGAACGGCGGGCGAGGACGCCAACGTAGAGGTGCAATAGTACCGTACCTGGTAGATCTCCCTCAATACGGCGATATAGTCTGCGATGTTGGGCACTCACAGTCCTTCCCACCGTTGAAGCTAATGGACACACGGTCCTCCCTTCAAAGCTCCTGCTGTCAGTCTGCGCATATACCTCCACACAATCGGCGGTACTCACCCGTACTCGTCGAGGACATCCTCTATGACCCGAACTGCCTCCTTGACGCGGTGAGCCACGCTGCTCGATGACTCTGCCAGGTCGTAGACCTCCTTTGCAATGTTCCGGTTCTCCATGGTGGTGGGGGATAAAGACCAAAGGAAGTTATGAACGCAATCGAAGCCTGCTCGTTGTGTGGCGTGGATAAAGCGCTCGACCGCGAGAACGGCGTCTATCCTCTCCTTTGCACTCTGTTGAGATTAGATCCGTAGCTGTTACGATCCGCCTCTCTCCTGTGTCACCTCAGCAGTCGTTCTCGTGGTTGCAAACATGGGCGACGTTATTCTGGTCACTGGCGGTACTGGTCTGGTTGGCAAAGGTATTCAGTACGTTGTGGAGACGGAACCTGAGGGCAGCAAGTTCGGAAAGAGAGCTGGGGAGAAGTGGGTATTCGCAAGCTCATCAGAAGGGGATCTCAGGTATGTACACTTAGTCTGGATTGCAGGTAGAGAAATGAAATGCATCACAGAGATGC